GCTGAGTCAACCCCTGGCTTGGACTATGAACTGTCAGAAAGCTTTTGAGACCTTAAAACACCTCTTCGCAGCTGAGCCCATCCTCCAGCACCCAGATGCAACCAAGCCTTTTATTGTCCAAAAAGATGCAAATGATGTAGCAGTGACAGCCATTTTGCTGCAAAAAGACTCTCAAGGCCAACTGAAATCTTGCGCTTAAGTGTCCAAAAAGCTGACAGACACAGAGCAAAGGTGGGCAGTCTGGGAGAAAGAAGCATTCGCCGTATTTTTTGACTTGGAGGCATTTATCGCCGCTTTATTGACTTGGAGGCATTTTCTAGAAGGGGCGCCAGAGACACTTCGAGGCTCTAAAGACTCCTAGGAGATTATCGCCCAAACAAGTCTGCTGGGCCCAATATTTCAAGCGATTCAACTTCAGCATTAAATATATCCCCAGAGGGAAAAACATACTGGTGATGCTCTGTCCAGAAAACCTCAGTTTGACAGCCACAAGTCTTAATTTCAGAAGCTCAATCAACAGGCCAAGTGACCACTCGAGCCCAAGACAACTGCAACCCCAAACACCTGGAAGATAAGCTGACTACAAAATTGAAAACGGCCCTATTGGCTCCTTGGTTCCTGGACCATCAAACTGAATTGACAATGAATGATGGACTAGCTTGGAAAGGGACTAAGCTTTATGTACCCACAACCCTAAGACTACTGGTACTAAAGCGTAGCCACAACTCCCAGCTGGGAGGCCACTTCAGATTCCTAAAAACCCTACATTTACTGAGAAGACAGTTCTGGTGGCCAAAAATGAAACCTGATGTCAAGGACAACTTTTTACAAAGTTGCTCAATTTGTGCCGCAATGAAACACAGAATTGGAAAAACCCCTGGCCTCCTGCAACAAGTTGCTGAACCAACCCAACCTTGGGAAGAAATTGCAATGGACTTTATTGTTGAATTACCTAAGAGTGAAGGGACTATAATTTGGACTATAATTGACTTATTCTCTAAACATGCCCATTTTATAGCCTGCAAAGGACTTCCATCTGTGAAAAAACTTGCAAAGCGGTTCGTGAAACATATCTATAGACTACATGGAGTACCTCATAGAATAATATCAGATAGAGGGGTACAATTTACTGCAAAATTTTGGAGGGAATTTCTGAAATCCATTGGTTCCTCTCAAGAGTTATCCTCAGCTTTCCATCCTGCTTGTAACGGAGTAGCAGAGTGGGCTAACGCCATGATTGAACAATACATTAGATGCTATGTAAATTATCAACAAGAAAATTGGGCTGAGTTATTACCTTTTGCAGAGGTCGCTTACAATAATGCAGTACATAGCAGCACGGGATTGACTCCATTCCAAATCAACACTGGAATGGATTTTGTCCTGATGCCAGAGTTACCTGCCTCATCCATGTATCTAACAGAATGGATGAACTCATTAAAGAAAGGGTGGGAAGATACAAAAAAAAGCTTTGACCTAAGCTGCAAAAATTATAAAAAACAGGCGGATAAACATAGATCCCTTCAACCGCCTCTTAAAGTAGGGGACAAAGTATATTTGTAGACCAAGTATCTTAGGTTGAAACTGCCCAGTAAGAAGCTGCATCCAAAATTCTTGGGTCCATTTCCAACTTCAAAGATAATCAATCCGGTCACTGTCTAATTATGTCTTCCTCAACTATTGGGGAAAATTCATCCAGTGTTCCATTGTAGTTTACTAAAACCAGCTACTACATCAATGATAAGACCACTGCCAGTTGCTCCCCCTAAACCATTAACGGTACAGGGGGAAACACATTATGAACTTCAAAAAAATCTTGATTCTAGATTACACTGTGGCCGATTGCAATATTTGGTCTTATGGAAAGGATACCCCCGCTCAGATGCTAGTTGGGTAAAGAGTTGGGATATTCATCCTGATCAATTGGTTAACCAATTCCATGAGGATTTTCCCCACAAACTGAAGGGTTCTCGTGGAGGGGGGGAGAGGGGGTTAATCCATCACAAATGGGCACTGTATGGTATACAAATACAATTTTTATCATGCATCCTCAATTTATTTCATTCTTGAAAAACTCCAGTACTGGTCCCAAGTTGTCAATATTAGGGTCTGGTGGGACATCACTCATATTTCAAAGCAGCTCTATAAAACTGTATAGTATATCCTACTACAGGTATTTTGGGCTGTTACACTAACAAATTATTAGGGAACAGGGCATGTGCTTTATTCAAATATTTACTAAATGAAAACAGAGATGTAGCTATTGTCTTCCCTGAAGTCCACCATGATGTTAAATGGAGATTGAGATGATTAAACATTGCAATGGAGTGCAGTGCTACAACACTATCTGAATTGGTTGGTCTCAGGCTAGGCTTCCAGGATTGATGTTAAATATCTGATTCCTCTGAGGTATGTCCTATTAACAAGGCATTTGACTAATGTTACTGGGTCCAGAAACCACAAATGTGAATGAATGTTGTCCTTTCTGTGTCTTATTTTAATATTGACCATGGTCTTGTAAACTGAGCTATCTTTGTCCTTTACAAATAATGCCAGAGCGGCAACTTTCATCACTTTGACCTTGACATTTCAGTTCTACTTTATGAAAAAAAATCTGCATAACAGATTCAGTGAACTCCAGCATGGGCATTTGTTGACCCCAGTTGCTGTCTATCCCACTTTGTAATCAAGCTTTCTGAACATGATCTACCTGGAATGAGATTGTTATGAGGACTTAATAGCTCTGAATAAAGATTCCATCCTAGATCTTAATTAGTTTACCTAGGTAAAAAAAAAAATCCCACAAACTCCCTTCATGATTTGTTGCTATGGTTGTAAAAAGAAACTGGTTTTTTTAAATGATAACCTTAAAGACAAATAGTTTAATTAGCTATCAGGCCTCAACACTGCCATTATTTAAGAGTTACAGTAGCCATACACAGTTATCTATTTTGGGGACTTCCCATTGGGCTTATCACTATTCCTTGAGTCTTCACCAGGTGTATATCAGATGCATAAGCTACATGCATCTTTGTTGAAAATTAAATGCATGCATACCTTTGAGGAGTAACCAGGCAGCCTTAGGCCAGGCTGACTGTAACCTAGGGCTTTAGTAGAAATAGTTGGTTTGTCCACATGTATTGCTGTTATTCTCAGTACTGGATGGGATTTTGCATTTCCCCCTTAGGTTCAAGCCATTCAGCTGTTATTCATAGTTCAAGAACTTTTCCTGCTTTTGCATATAACATCCAGCACTTGCTAGATCTTGTAGCAGTCACAACTAGCATATTTCTGTTCAAAACCTCAAATTTTCCAGGCACCTCATCAGCCCCTATTTTACTGTCTTGATCTTCTGTACATGCCAAGTGAACAAGTACTCCATCATGATTCAAATATTGTCACCCAGTGATATGGAGGATTCGCATAAATTCTGCTCAAACATGGAAATATAAATTTTACAGTAGCAAGAAAAGCTTCCACAAGTCAGTTTTATGCAAAGCAGTAAAAATGTGTTATTTGACATTTGCAGAATCCAATCAATTAAATGCAGGTCAATTTTGTTGCAAGCTGTCTTCTTTCTTATGTCATTATATTTTAAAGCTTAGTTGTTATAACACTTCACCTGCCCGTTGTGGTGGACTGACAATTGAAAAAATGGGAGACGCAGGGAAGACGTCTGAGCAACTGCCAGCCCCGAGAGCACTCGGGTAGCAGTATTTATTAAGAAAATGCAAATACAAAATCAAAACAATGACTTCAACATTAGCTCAGCAGCATTATCTAGCTAGGCCTCAGCGAAGGTGATAAAGTTCCCGTGAGAATATCCAGGCACCAAAGGTCTCATGGGAATGGCTCGGCTAGGTACTGTGAACCCCCACACACATTCCTGGTCTCTGAGCTTTGCAGACCATAACAGGATCAAACTCTCATCATAAAGACATTACTGCCCTCATGAGGAGCATTTGTGATACCCCCAGATCTTACAAAGCTGTACAAGAACTTGCAGAATATGATGGATATATTACCACACCCGTGGATACTTTTCATCTATTTTTTTTATTATTCAACAATGAAATATTTCCTCAAAGTATTTTGAACTTTCTTTCTTTTTACTTTTGTGCTTGTTTTTTGTTGTCAATTTTGTTAATCGTTACCTCACTGCTGACCAAATTATTTGAACAATTGGAAATGTTGTACTTCTAGTTGCTATTTACTTTTTAATCATCTCTCTCTCCCCCCTCTCTCCCCCTCTCCCCCCTCTCTCTCTGCCTATTTCTGTAGATTTGTGCAGCACCTCCCCTTATAATGTTTAGCTAGGTGGTCAAGACAGCTTTTTTAAAAATACAGTGTTAAGACTATTAAGAATTAAGCCCATCACTTACTAGTGAGCTTGTTAGTCAGTCATTAGTTTGATGCACAATGATCATAAAGAAAGATAAGGAAGTTACTTATTTGTAATTGATATCCCACAAATGGTTATTTATGCATCCAAACTCTCTTACCTCCTGCAAATTTTGGTAGTAAATATTCCTAATCATCAAGGACTGCTGGGACACTCTTGGGAACTGAGAGTAGCAATGAGAGCCCCACCCAAGACAATCCACAGTAGAGATGTGCTTCTTACTTATGCCTTGTTTCTTACAAACTAAACAAATCATGCTGTCTTATGTGGAAACCTAGGCAAATAGTGTGGGATTAACCATTGGCCAATAATTGATTGGCCACACCCACACAGTCACATGACCACCCAGCCATACCCACACAGTCACATGACCACCTAGCCACACCCACAGAACCAGTTTAAAAATTTGAATCCTACCACTGGTTGCACCATCCCACTCTTGGCTCAGGCACCCAAAAAATAAGAAGGTATTGCCATCAATTGGTTGGTCATATAAAGTTTTGCAAGCCAAATACAACAGTCCCACATTAAGGATTATCACAAACACATTGTATAGATGCTTTTCATAATTAAACCAGTTGATTATCTTCCTACACAGCCAGCACAATGTGGTTTAGATCTCCGGCATGTTACAGTGATTGAATTGGTTGGGGTTTATCCAGCACAACTGGGAAGAATAGGATTAAGACTGATGTCTCCTGCCTTGGCTGTACAACTCAGGTAAATTATTTAGGCTCTAATTGTAAGGAAAAATTTTCCTCTGGCTGTTTGTCTTTAATGTCTTGATTAGATTTTTAGAGCAGGCCTTTATGGAATGAGATTTTTTTTATACAAGAGGAATCCTAAATAGAACATCTTGTTTAAACTTGATAAATAAATAAAATAAAATGTAATGATCCCCATGTTATATTAAAATTAACATGTTCTTTAAAATATATTTGATGCTTCATTAATTTGTGATAAATTGTTAATTCTCTTCATTGCACAGAGACTGCTTGCATGCTGAACTGTGCATAAGAATTTATCTCTCTTCCCTGCATTGCCAAGTAACTCTGTGAAATATAAAATAGTCTTAAGTTTGGGGTCCCCCCCCAATATTTAGTGCTGTAAATTGTTCACCTGATTGAATTTATTTTAGTTAAGTCATATTTCAAGGTCATAATTTGAAAATTCTAACATGATTTAGTCCTACTGAAAAGCAAACAGCTTCCGTAACCTGTAAAACATAATCATTTTTCCTATTTAATAGTACAGAGTTATATTTCAGCACAAGGGCAACACCAATTTGTTTTTAAAAATGTTCTTTGGCCTTTAGTTATAGAAGTATACAGCTATCCTGGTCATGCATACCAGTTAGAGTACCATAGGTGTGGAGTATCTATGCAATGAAATGTTTCTAAAGCAAGAATAAAATGAGCATGCTTACTGTCTAAAGACAAGATGGAACTTTGTTATATTCATTGGAATTTTGAATGTTCTAGATATGCAAGGTATTTATTGCAGTACTAAGTACTTTAAATTTATCTCTCTGTTGGAGATTTTGGCCACAGCAAGATGTGGTCAAAATGCAGTGTGAGGACTGGATTATCTTTGCTTGATATTTAACAATTATACTGGAAACAGGATTATTTTCCTTTTCAGATGTTGACTGTTTATTGTATACTCTAAGGCAGTGGTCACCAGCCAGTGGGCCACAGACCACTGGTGGGCCGTGAGATAATTTTGGTGGGCTGCAGAGGAATCTCACCCCCAGAGCACCCCCCACAAAGCAATTAATCCAGGCTGCACAGAAACACAAGGCTACGCCGTCCACATGGCCCGCGGGAACCCTCCCCGCCCACTCATTCCTTAGCCAGCAAACTTGCCTGCTAAAATTGCTATTTTTCCTTTTTCCAACCATCATCTGTTCTGCTGTGCCTGGAGATTTAGATTAGCTAGGAAGCAGGAAATTGTTGGATTTCTTGCTTTCTAGCTAGTCTTTCGATTTTTGGCTCTGCTTTTAAGCACAGCCGAACCTCCCTTAGGGCTAAAGGTTCTATTATTCAGTGGAGATTCACAGCAAGCAAATTTGAGAGACTGAGCTAGCCAATGGCAGATAGATAGATCACTGAATGATTCTGTGAGCAACTCAACCTGCCTGCCTGCTTTGCCTGATTTTGGGTAAAAGTTGCTCTTTTTTTATAAAAAATTCAATATTTACATACATGGTATGTTGTGAGTTAATTTTGTGAGTTTGCTTGCTAGCAAATTTTATGAGTTTGCTTGCAAACAAATTTTATGTGACAGACTGAGCTAGCCAATGGCAGATAGATAGATCACTGAATGAATCTGTGATTCTCTGAGCAACTCAATCTGCCTGCCTGCTTTGCCTGCTTTTGGGTAAAAGTTGCTCTTTTTTATAAAAGAAATCAATATTTATATAAATATTCATATTTACATACAAGCCATGCCCAGCCAGTCACATGACCACCAAGCCACACCCACAAATTAGGTCATGCCAGAACCAGTTAGTGGTCCCTGGGATTTAAAATTATGAGTTTTGTGCTCCCTGAGGTCCAAAAGGTTGGCAATCCCTGCTCTAAGGAAAAGGAAATATTACTGTACATAGGAATGAAGATCAATTTCACCCATACATTGACTGGAGAAGTAGCTTCGGGAAGCTTGTTTAGTCACTCTTTTCCAAATAATGGTCAGCTCTGTTGATGATTGTTTTGGGTATAAAAGATGAATAATCTATTGGGGCCTCTTGCTGAAACAATCCTTCATATCCACCCCCCTCCTTTTGCAATTCCTTAGTTGCCCTTGGTTTCTCGCTGAAGCAACCAAGGGCAACTAAAGGAATTGCAAAGGGAGGGGGTGGATATGAAGGAGTGTTCCTTTTTCCTGTCCTACCCTTTTCTTTGCTTTTCTTACATCACGGGTATCAAACTCAATTTCATTGAGAGCCATGGCAGGGTTGACCTCAGGGGACTGGGGTAGGTGTGATCAGCTCAACATCACTCATGTTGGGGGTGCCTGTGGTGGCCTGAGCACTCTGCCAGTGAAAACGGAGCAGCCCTCCGTTTGCAGCCCTCGCAAGCTCCATTTTTTACTGTGATGGCCTCCTGCAACCCTCTGCCAGTGAAAACGAAGCTTGCAAGGACTGTGTGCACCCCTCGCAAGCTACATTATTTTTTACTGTGATGGCCTCACCCTCTGCCAGCGAAAACTGAGCTTGTGACCTCCGTTTTCGGGTGTGACGGCCTCCTGCAACCCTCTGCCAGCAAAAACAGAGTTTGCAAGAGCCGCACATGGCTTTGTGAGCTCCGTTTTTGCTGGCAGAGGTATCACAGGCCAGTCCTTCACTGTTTCCAGGGTGGTTCTGTGGGCCAGATCTAAGCTCCCCACTGGCCGGCTCCGGCTCCCAGGCCTCGAGTTTGACATCACTGTCTTACATGTTTACTTTATAAGCTGCAGACAGGGTTTGATACATGCTGCTTTGGGATACTTTTGTCTAGAAACAGATGTTCTTGAACATGAGCAAGAGCAGTGATCAGGAGTGCAAGGTAACTGCTTAGTGAAAGAGAAAGGAAGTTGTTAACAAACTTGTTTCTTTTCATACCCTCAGGTTGTTACTTCGTATCCCTCACTATAACTTTTACATGGTAGTAGTTGATAAACATGGTGTGGACAAAGAACGATCTCCTTTTCCAGCAACCTCTGCTGAGCTCTTTGCGCTCATTGACACTTTCCCTTTGAGAAAAGAAGAAATGAAATTGCAAACTGAAATTGGCCGGTCTTGTCCCTGATTTTAGACTATAGATGTTCAGTATTTTTGCTGGCTAAATTTTTCTGGTACTACACAAAGCGTGAGATTTTGAAAGTCGCTGCTGTACAGAACCTTTTTCTTTTATGTATGTATGTGTGTGTGTGTACGTAAGTATGTATGTATATGTTTAGGCTATGGATGTTGCAAAACTTTTCAGTTAACCTACAGTATAATTGATGCCTCTTTGTCTTGTCAAAGATTTATTTTCTGCTATGAAAGGTTCTTTTTTATTGTTATTATTTTTTAATTATACATTTTCCTTTATTATACATGTTTCCATTTCTGCAACAGCAATGTACTGTCTATATCAAGTCTCTTTTGAATATACATATTATACACCATGATTATAACCATTGTTCTCATAGTTATACAATATACTCTCTTTTGAATATAGATAATATTATATACCCTAATTATAACCATTATTCTCATAATTATACAATATAATCCTCACCTCAAATGGCTCTATACACTTTAATCTATAGTCAAGTGTGGTCTAGTGGTAATATTGCTTGTAGTGTTATGTTTATACCTATCTATCTATCTACCTATATTATTTACTTCTATTTTGGTAATCATCTTTAATTATAAAGTTATTAACTTCTCCTTCTGTTTTCTAACCATTTATACAGTAAATCCCATGTTAAATAATACTCTGTTTCCTCTTTATCCTTAATTTTCATCGTTAACCTGTTCATTTCAGCAGTCTAGTATTTTCTTTATTACCTTTTCATCTATACGTATACTTTCATTTTTCCAGTTTTGTACATAAGTAATTCTCACTGCCGTTATTACATGTAACATTAAATATATAATTCTTTTGTTCTATTTCCCTGATAGTATACCTAGTATAAACAATTCTGGTTTTAAATCTGTTTGTTGTACTGTCATTTCTTCTAACCACCTTTTTATCTTTACCCAATATTTTTTTGCCATTGGACAAGTCCACCACATGTGGTAATAGGACCCTGGCATCTGTTCACATTTCCAGCACTCTGGCAATATGTTTTGGAACATTTTTGCATTCTTGCTGGTGTCAAATGCCATTTATAGAACATTTCGTAAAGGTTTTCTTTGTATGCGGTTGACATCGTTAGTTTGTAATTTCTTTCCCACAGTTTTTGCCAATTGTCTAGTTCTAAGTTATATCCAAAATTTTGGGCCCATACTATCATGATTTCTTTTATATGTTTTTCTTCCATTTTAACATTCAATAAGTAATGATAAATTTTCTTTATTAATTTGTCATCTGTCCCTAGATATATCTGATCTAATTCTAGCATTTCTTTATAAAATCCACATATTTCTGTATCTTTCTCATTTGTATTTGAATATGTGACCACCAAGCCAGGTTAATTCCCTAATTTTTTGGTTCCTGTTAAGTCCCCTTGTTTATTTAGGATAACTTTGTACCTTACGATTTTTTCCAGTTCTAGAACATTAGGATATATTAGTTCTTCCATCATGGATAGCCAGACCAGTATTTTCATGTCATGATTCTGTTTAATTTTTTCCCATACTGACAGCAGAGCATTCCTTTGGAAGTATCTGTGTATTTTACTTTTCCCTTATCATACAAATGCATGCCACCCCAATTGTAGATCGTGGCCTCTGTGAAAGGTTCTTGTAATGATATTGAATTGTTTTGGTTAACCCTTCAGAATATTAGTTCCCATGTAAATGTTTTCATTTCTTTCACAGGTCTTTTATTAATAAAACATTTTTGCATTTTACAGATTTAGTATTTATATTAACATTGTGTTACAAAGCTGTTTGTTTTGAATTCAGCAAAAGGGCTCCAGAGTAAGATTAAAGGAGTCTCACTGATTTCAGTCAAATAGGGATACATAATTGTTAGGCAGCTCACAAAATGTTCTCTTCTTCTGGCTATATGGCCTCATTGGGATACAGGCAGTCCTCAACTTACAACCACTCATTCATAAAAATTACAATGGTACTGAACAAAGAGACTGTCAACTTGCGAAGTATCCAGGACCTGCTCTCAAGTTGCCATAAGCAAGGGGGATGGGAAAGCAAACCTCGCAGATGCATCAAGGAGCTGGCATCTCAGTCAAAACAAAGCAAATTACAACTGATAAGCCTAGGTTGTCTCCACAGAAACCCACAGTGGCTGGAGGGAGTGACTTTTATAACCCACAAAATTGCTTTGTTGGGGAATGTGACTGATGACACATCGGGGAAGGGGGGAACAGGGTCAAAGGCAAAGTGTGCATTAACTGAGGTCAGAGTTGGCTCCACCTGGTCTGTGCCAACATGAAGCTCCTAATAAATAACTGGATTTCTTTTGAAGCTTGGCTTGAGGCTCATGATTTAATTAGGGCATCTGTCAGTGAGCCAACTCTCTCAAAACTAATAAAAATGATCAGGATTCCTAATACCGGTAGAACTTTACAAAATTATCATAGAACAAATTGGACCACTGATGCTGGATGTATTTAATGAGGTACTCTTAGCAGCCAAGATGCCGGACTCGTGGAGGGGAGCCTTAATTTCGCTGATCCCGAAGGAGGACCTAGACCACAGACTTATTAATAATTATAGACCAATTTCGCTCCTGAATGCAGATTACAAATTATTCTCTTCTATAATAGCTAATAGATTAAAACAGGTTTTAAACACTTATATCCATGAAGATCAAAATGGATTTCTCCCATTTCGACAAATTAAGAATAATTTAAGAACAGTGATAGACATTTCAGAATACTATGAAGCCCACCCGGAAAAACAATTTGCATTTATGTTCTTGGATGCTGAAAAAGCATTCGACAATTTAAATTGGCATTTCTTAATTCAAAAAATATATAATATGAATCTTGGCACCAGATTTGAAAATGTCATCACTACAATTTACTACACTCAACAGGCAAACATTTTAATAAATGGGGAACAAACTGGCCCGATAAAAATAGAAAAGGGGGTAAGACAGGGTTGCCCTCTCTCCCCTCTGCTCTTCATATTCGCCCTAGAATCTCTTCTGACATACATTAGGCAAAACTTGAGAATTAGAGGTCTGAGGATCAAATCAGAAGAATATAAAGTACAGGCTTTCGCTGATGATTTCGTTTTTTTTCTGGAGGAGCCCATAGAAAAAGGACACAACTTATTAGAAGAACTAGAACGATTTGGAGAAGTCGCGGGATTTAAAATAAACAGGGGAAAAACAAAATTAATGACTAAAAATTTAACAGGAGACCAGAATAAAAAGCTAGAGACAACAATGGGAATACAGGTGACAAAAAAAATTAAATACTTAGGAATTTGGCTAACTCCACAAAGCAAATCGTTAAAAGAAAATAATTATGACAAACTTCTCCAACAATCTAAGAAAGACTTAGATTTCTGGAGCAAGTTACAACTTTCCTTATTGGGCAGGATTGCTTTGATTAAGATGAATATTCTGCCAAAATTTCTATATTTATTCCAGACAATTCCAATCAAACTAAATAAAAAAATTTTTATGGAACTAAACAAGATAACATTGAATTTCATTTGGCAGGGGAAAAAAGCTAGGATTAACGTAAAAGCCCTACAAGATTTGAAAAGCAGAGGAGGGTTAGCCTTGCCAAACTGGGAAATATACCATACGGCAGCCACCTTACTATGGATAAAGGATTGGGTAAACCTAACCAACAAAAGAACACTAGTATTAGAAGGCCACGATATGCAGAAAGGATGGCATGCCTTTCTGTGGGAATCTGGGAAACCCAGGCAATCATATTTCCATAGGCATCTTATCAGGGACTCTTTATTAACTAATTGGAAAAAGTACGTAAAAAACTTTATCTAAAAATACCGATTTGGCTATCTCCAATGGAAGCGATAGTACACCCTAATAATCTGGATATAACCAAAATGATTAAGTACGAAAATTTATTAGACCTACAAGGAAAGTTAAAAACACAACAAGAATTACAAGAACGAGGATTTATAATTGATCAGTGGGTGTACCTTCAAATTCATAGTAAATACAAACAAGACATTAAGGAATTTGGAATCTACAATAAATTACAGACTCTAGACAAAATTCTATTAGGACCAAGTAAAAAAAATATATCTAAATTTTACAAATATTTATTAGAAACAGAACTAGAACAAGAAATTGTCAAGGGAAATATGATTGCGTGGAGCAGAAATGTGGGTCGGAGCATTACCCTAGCAGAATGGGAAAAGGTCTGAAACAGGAACATTAAGATCATGAAATCAGCAGCTTATAAAGAAAACTTATATAAAATGTTTTATAGATGGCACCTGCCCCCTTCGAGATTGGCGAAGATGCACCCCAACACGAGCCCCAAGTGTTGGAAATGTCAAAACATAGAAGGTACCTTCTTCCACATGTGGTCATGCAAGGAAATCCAGAAGTATTGGCAAAAAATTAGGCACTGGCTAGAGGAAATAACCATGGAACAAATTGAGTACAAACCAGAGTCCTTCCTTCTAGGAATTTTTGATAAACGAATATCCAAAAAATCAAAGTATATTACAATCCATATCTTAACCGCGGCCAGACTGGCATTTGCCCAGTGCTGGAAACTACCTTCTATCCCCACTGAACTTATGGTTATTCAGAAAATTTTACAATGCGCCGAAATGGACAAACTAACCCAAGCATTAAAAAATAAAGAATCTTCAATCTATTCTAGCAATTGGAATCCTTTGTACATTTGGCTTAATCAAAGATAGATCACCGCTAAGAAAACTAAGGCCGAGGCCTCTGAGGCAGAGATAAAGAGAAGCACTGCCGACAATAGTTTTGAAGAAGAAAAGACCTTACAGACAGTCACAAAAATATGGTTTTATTATAACTGTTTTTCCTACTTTTGTTTTCCCCACTTTCCCCCCCTTCTCTTCCCTTTCCCTCTTTCCTCTCTCAAGCTTTCCTCTCTTTCCCTCTTGGCCTACGCCAAGACTTGTTCGTCTTTTTGTTGTATATAATTTGTAGCTGTGTTGTTGTCTTTTTTTAAAAAAAAGTAAAATTAATAAAGTTTATTTTAAAAAAAATGATCAGGATTCCTGAACCCTGGACTTTCCATCCATTCCCCGACACCTGGGGTGCATGGAGAGAAACTCAAGCTACCATGGTAGAGAGTGCACTATCCAAAGAGAACCTGCTCCAGGTGACCCCGAGTGAGGTAGAATTTGCCCCAGGAATTCCAGGAACCAACAGCCCAACCAGAGCCAAATTGCAGCCCTCCCTGGACATCAAAACTGAGATGCCCATCGCAGCAATTTAAACAAGAAAAATAAGTATTGGTGGAAAAAAAATCCCTAAAACGGTTGAGGTTGAACTTCCCCACCCCAGAGCCCAGGGCTGGGGGAAACCCCTGAGTGAGCTGGGAAGACTGGAATGGATGATAGACTAGGAACTCTGTTGGAACTCTTGGGGGGATTCTTAGAACAGCTGAAGGAGAAATTTGAACAAACCACCCTTTGGGATGAGGGGCTGTCATGCAGCCCAAAAGAGAGGGGGGTAACAACAGAGCCCTTTGAAGCAAAGAAAAGCAAATGGGAATGCAACCCACCCCCCCTTCTCCACTACTCAGAGGAAGAATGAGCCTGAAGCTGCCGCCAGTGGTTCCTCTGTGTAAGAGGCAAGCTACCCAAGGGAGATGGCTCGTACCCTCCCTCTGAACCACAGCCAAGAGAGACCACCAAACACACCAAGCACAGGAACACGGGGCCCAACATGACGAGGGAAGAGCAGGGCTGAACGAACCACCATGATTTAGGGGAAATTTGATGGGAACTAAAAACAACTGTCTCTGTTCGTTGACTCTGCTAGAGTCTACCTAGACTGCTATGGCCACCCCTAACCCATTGCACAGAGCCATGGTAAATACCATCGCCAGGAGGCTAGAGACAGAAGCAAAGGAATGGCAAGTAGCCCTCCATAAGAAGAGCCTCCCAACTGCAAGACATCGACAATTTCATTCAAGAGCTAGAAGCCAGATTTGAGGAGGTGGAGGAGGATCCGTACATGGAGGATAAGCTCAGAAACCTAAAGCAGAGGAGGCAATCCAATAAAGAACACATCTGTGAATTCAGAAGAGTCGTTGGGAAGCGACACTACACCCTTTGCCAAAACAATGATTAGTTCACTTTTTCAGAACAAGCCTGGACAAGCAAATCACCCAAGTAACTGCCTATCGGGACATTTCAAACCGACTCTCTGAGTGGTTCACAGTGACCATAAAGTTGACTGGATTGCACATAAATGGCATGCGGAAGCAACTGGATACCAAGGAGAGAGGCCAA